AGCCAATTTTTTTCAGCCTTAGCTGAAAATTTTCTTGAACAATTTAAATTGTTATCACCTTGTAATGTTTGAAATAAATTACTTAACTCTTAGTAGTTAATTCAATTGTGGGCCATATTCATTTAATACCACTCAGCAAAATTTTAAAATTCTTATGCGTTTNAAAAAAAAAAAAAAAAAAAAAAAACCTAAAATACTATAAAGTTTTGGATCCAAACAATACACATGTGCATCCTGTAATTAATTTCTTTTCTACCAGAGTCATTTTTTTTTCAGCCTTAGCTGAAAATTTTCTTGAACAATTTAAATTGTTATCACCTTGTAATGTTTGAAATAAATTACTTAACTCTTGGTAGTTAATTCAATTGTGGGCCATATTCATTTAATACCACTCAGCAAAATTTTAAAATTCTTATGCGTTTGTAATTGCTCTCTCCTGATTTGTATTTTCTGTGGTTGAGTTTTCTGTAAACCTATCTTATGTCCTAGATAATTGATAGAATCTCCTCTTTTTCTCTTTTCATGGTCAATTTGCAATCCCCAACAACACAAAATTCCCTTTATTTTATCAAACATTTGTATCTACGACTTTAATTTTCCTATTTGTCCTTCAAGCCCTAAACACTCAACCCATTTTGCATTCTGTTTTATCTGAGATAAAGTTTCAATCCCTAGAAGTTGAATATTTACCTCTTAGGAAGACTAATCTTAAAGACAAGATTTTGGTGAAATTATTATTATATTTGCTTATGTGTTTACTAAGCCTTCAATTTTATGTTTTGTTTGCAATTTTAGCTTTGGTAATAGATAATTTATAGCAGTTTGCTGTAAGTGGATTTTTCTCTGTCCTGTCTGCCACCTCCCAAATAACTACCAGAAGACTTCATATTAATTACGAAAGTTCAGCTGCTAGCTTAGGCTTATTTGTAAGTAGCTCTTATAACTTAAATTAACCTATTCCTATTAATTTGAATGCTGCTACATGACTTGTGACTTTAATCTCTTTTATTGTATGTTTTCTTGCATGTTTGCATGGGAGGGGTCTCATCCACTGGAGACTCTGCCTTATTCTCCAACATTCTTTCTCCTCCAAAAATCCTGTCTAACTATTGACCGTTTAGTGTTTTTTTTTTTAATTAAACCAATCTGAATGACAATTCTTCTCAGTGTACAGAAAGATTATTCTACAACAGTTTGCCAAGATACTTGTTTTCTGGTCTCGCCTGTTCTATCTATTTTGTTTTATCTACTGAAACTGTTCAGTCCTTTATTACGTCCAGGGAAGTTTCATTTTAACAGGCATTCAATCTTTTAATTTTTGTGTGAATGAATTTCTCCAAGGATAACAGGAAACAACTAAATCTAATCTGATATCGGGGTCCACAGGAAACCCTTAGGGCATTTCCCAATGACAAAGAATTACCTTGCCTGTTCTTTGTTCATCTGCATTAATAAGTCCAATACTGACCTTTGCCACAGCTGCTGTAGAACGCTGGGGCCTTCTGTTTTGACTATTTTTAGAAAACCCAGTGTTTCTAGGAGTGCCTTGTCTAAAATCCCTTTTCAAATGTCATTGCTTACCACAAAATTGAAATACCTGACATTTTGATTTTTCTTAAAACTTTTAGAATTTATTTCTCCTATCAGAGTAGCATCATAAGCACGAGATCCAATATCAGATGTATTTTCAATCCATTCAACTATTGGTGCTGATCTTGACTGTAAAGGGCTGATCACCTTTTTGCATTCAGAATTAGCATTTTCAAAAGCCAAAGGTTTGATTAATATTTGTCTATTTTCTACATCTGATACTATTCTATGTAGATACTATTCTACATTTGAAGTCAATCTTTGCAAAAAAAAATCAGTGAAGGTTTCTTTGGGGCAGTGTATAATTTTAGCCCCTTTTCTGATTTTTCAATGTTGTCCCAAGCATTTAAGTCTGTTAAACTATATGGTGTGAAGGTATGTCATCAAATTCAAGCTGCATTTGCTATTCAGCATACTGGTATTCATGTAAAAACTGACTTTGGAAATATTAATCTCTCTAGTCCTATTTTGTTGTTTCATGGCCCTAGTTTCCTCTTTCCATTATGCTCACAAATGTAACTGAGGATCAGTTTCCAATATTGTTGTTGCCAAATCTTTCCAGTCTTGGGGGGTAATTCTGTTCTGACTTGACCATGAATTTAATATCTGCTTTACATTGAGTAAATGCATCCCATATTCCTTAAATCTCCTCAAATATAATCTTTTTATAGGATTTAGTTTAACTTCTTGATAACTTGAGGGTACCTATCATCTCCTGGTATTTGTGCATAGCAACTGGAGAAACTGTTTGTTTCCTAACCACATTGGGCCGATCGTCTTCAGTTTCATCATGTGGGTAGTACAGTAGGTTCTTGTATAAATTCCCCTCTCTGTATCTTGCTACTTTTATTTTCATTTATAAGTCTTTCTAAGGCTTCTATTGTTGTGACCCTGTCACGGTTCCCCTAAACAAGACTACCACAGAGCTGATATCTGATGTAAATCCACTGGGGTTTATTGATTGCAAGTTAGCTAACTGGGAACACAATCCATCACAGGACCACAGTAGGTAGGAGAAAATGGCCCTGAGGCTTCAGGTTAGGGGATTTTAAAGAGAAAAACTGCAAGCAGGATGTCACAAGTCTTGGCATTTGGGATTGGGTAAAGGTATACAATTTTTGAATTTGTTGGTTGGGGTATAGGGGAATTTCAAAACAGTCAAAACAGTGATTAATCAGGTATCTACAAGGACATTTGAAGCAAGAAGATGTAAACAGGTTTTTTTTTCCTTTTTTTTTTTTTTGATACCCTGGTGGGTCACTTTGACAAGGACAGACACAGTTTCTTGGGAATGTTTATGACTTCACTGGGCTGAATTTACCTCCCTAGTTAGGTCCTGACTAAAATGAAGTTCTTTTTCAAAATGGAGTTTATTCTCTTCCTTCACTGTCCTATCAGTCCACTTTGCATATTTGGCATAAAAGGTTTACCTTTTAATGCTACTTAACTCACTCTTTAAGGACTTCCTAGGGTTCTTAAAAAATCTGATGATTCATAAGTTTGTCCTCTGTCCGTGTGTTTGTGCCACATGTTGGAACACCAAATGCTGTTTTTAAACTAAATCTCTATGGTGTATTTTATCAATAAACACTCAGGAGCCAGATGCTAGGATGAAAACCTGCTAGCTTAGAGAGGCAGAGAAAGCACCCAGCTGCTTTCTTTTCTGCTGTCGTTCCACAAAGACCTTTCTTCTATTTTTGTCTCAAACAAAAACTCCTCTTACCACATCTCTCTCCCTTCTACTCCCTGTGTGTCTCTGTATCCTTCCTCTTGACTTCTTACACTCTATGGTTTTATCTTGTGAGCTGGTTACTTGCAGGTTACTTGCTCTGCCTCTTAACCTATGGCTGATTTTATTTAATCCTGTTTACAATATTCAAACAGAAAGCTCTTAGATTAAAGGTGTGTGCTAGAGCTGATTCATACATTGGGAGACAGCTTTTCCCAGTACATAATGCAATCTCATGGTTTATACAGTGTAATAATATATCCTGCAGCATATCTGTACTTGATGGTAATTGATACAGATACTTAAAACTGGTCGAAATCAGATGTTCTCTTGCTAATCTTTGCTTAAACTGGAGTTCTCAATCATTGGAAACCAGTTTGTTGAGGTCCTTTATTTTTATTTGGATTGAAAAATTGGTGGGTTAGGAGAATATTTTCTACTGGTAGCAGTTCTTGAGGACAGAAGGCAGAGCTGCTCCAAATCCTGCTACCTGGGAGCTTATTGCACTTGTGTCCAGGTGCTTAGATTGGAGGCTTCATTCTATGAGATCTTAGAAGCCCTGACTTTTGAAATTCTCAGCAGTGAGCCAGTGCAAACCAGTTGCAAACACTAATACGGAGAGCTTTCCAGAATTGGAGGGACCTATACTGGACTCCATGGTTGGGACATTCAGAGTGACAATGACAAATGACACAACTCACTAGTTGAGGATGTCAGAACCCTCAGCCCTGACAGTTTCTGTTTTTCAGGCCTACACTCATTGAAATACCTGCCCATTAAAGTTCGACAGCATTCTGGAAGACTTCTGATGACCAAGGTGTTCTGTCCAGATCACGGAGACACCACACAAACAATGAGACTGAGCCGTGTATGTAAAAGCAAAGAGCCTTTATCCAAGTTTGAACTTGGACTCTCCGTGTGTCCAGTGCTTTGGCATGATCAGAGAGTCTCAAGCTCAGGTGGGGTGGGGTTTTTATCTTAGCAGAGTTTGGGTGAGAGATTTCTAAGTTTCAGGACCACTGACTGGCTGATATTTGCCTGAGGGTGTCCTTGTGAAAGGAGATGGGTGTGTGCTGGGCTAAGGGGCATCAGGTGTTCCTATCTACAAGGGTTGAAATGTTAGGTATTTCTTTTCGAATGTTAGGTACTTTCTCTCAGGTGGTCCATTTTTGGGTGATGCCTGGGTGGCCTCTGTTCAGCCTGTAATGACTGGGCCCTACCCAGGATTTATTGTTTCTTTCTCTGCACACTACTGAAAGTTTGTTGTTGTGACATCTCTTCCTTTGTTCCTCCTACAACTTATTTAACTCCAGTCGTGATGAAGATAAAAATGTTGGCAGGAAAAGACAATACAGAGGAAACCATTGTGCCCAATGTTGCAACACTAGGGAACAACACGTAAGACTGTCTCCCAGTGACTCAAAAGTAAGCTCAACAGCCTACTTAAAGCATCCAGAAAGGATGACTAATCCCAACAGACCTGCAGGTAAATGACAGTGTATCTGTACAAATCACAGCACAACAGCTCCAAGGGATTGTACCAATCACAGACCTCTTGTGGGCCAAGAAGGGGTTACGAAGTTCTTGACTCCTGGGAAAAGACCACAGACTCAATCCAATTATAATTAAAAAGGTTTATTTATTATTTTTTTTAGTGAATTCACAAGAACACCTTCAATATTTATGCAAGCAAGCAAAAACTGATCTGTTCTGCCAAGTTTACGTGGTTAAGGCCACTCAAAACAATCTTTGGGTATCTGTCTATTTAGTTAAAGAAGTCCAAAAAGCAATTAGTCATGCAGTAATGCTGTACATTTCTGGGTGAAGTCACAAGTGAGGGTTACTGGAAACTTACCTTCCAGGTAAGACAAATGGCTACTGAGTCTGAAGATGGGTGCTTAGCATAAAATGGAGTGTTTTTTCATTATGTTTTGTTTTTCTTCTTTTCAGCCACCACAAAGGAATTGCCTGAGGTCTCCGGTGAAAACGGCTGCAGAATTAAGTAGAATTCATCAATGCTAGTCTTGCTTCCTACTACTGCCTTTTCTGGAGCATGTCTTCAGTGGTCCTCTGTAGCTGCTGGAGTATCTTCAGAGTGATCTTGCTGAGGGCCAGTTCAAGGACTACACTGCACCTCCAGAACCTTAAACATCTATTGAAGGACCAGGAAGAGTACAGCCAAAAATCTAGGTTAGCCTGTTCAGTGACTCTGTTCCAGGAACTAGCTGACCATAAAGGTAGATTATAATCTTGAGAACAATCTTGAGAAACGGGGAGTTACCCCCTTGTAATTATCATTGGTATTTTCAGAATTTTCCAATGATGCCCTCCCTACCCCCTTTGGGTTATGGTTTCTTTCCTTAAATACTCCTTCTCCCAGCTACTGGGGTCGAACTCCTGTACCCCTGCGCTCTGGTTCCTGTCAGTAAACCTCATGTGATTGCAGCAAGGATGGTCTCTTATGAATTCTTGGGGGGTGGGGAGGTCATGTTATCCAGAGACTTGAGTCTCTCCACTCCGGGGGTCTTTCACTGTCTCTTGAAAACTACTCTTTTAAGAAAGACGTAAACATCTGTTTGTCATAAAGACTGAAAGAAATCTCAACAAAGAACCAAAAACGCTAACCACATTTACCATTACTGTGTAGTATTTAACAATATCTAACTACATTCATACTCAGTCCTTGCCCCACTGCCCCAGGAAAAAGTAGGTATTTGATTTATCTTACTGTTACTTAACGGGAAACTGAAGACAAAGACGGCATTATTTAAATGTAAGCAGATGAAAGTCCGACTTCAAGTTCTGTAAGATAAAATTGAGTGGGCAAGTCACGGGTCCACATATTTGATAAGTTAATACTCAAAGGGAAAGGCAGCTTTCTGTGTTCTACAAATCAAGGAGTCGTTTTGCAACTTGAGGCAAGAAACTTGCCCGGGTTAGAGTCCTATCCTACCGTAGAAACTAAGAAATATGGAGACTGTTCTCTTGCTGATTGCCTTTCAGAAGGATGACCGCAGGTCCCTGGAATCTAACAAGAGGGATTTACAAATGTTTACCTTTTAAAGTGAAAAAAGCTGAATTAACAACTGTACATTTTCTAAAGTAAAAGCTTCCAAGAAAAGTCGGCATCCTTTAAGCTTGAAAAAAACTCTCCTTGAAGTTTGTAGTCCTGATGAGGGAACTGGGACCAAAAGCATACTGATGAGAAGCAGTTTTGAAGTTTGGCAGCAGGGAACTTAATTTAATTTCCTTTCACTCGTGTGATGCACACGTCACACAATCCATTTTCATTCACCTTGCTCCGGTTACCCAACCTGGGCCAGCCAGTTCACTGAAAAAAAATGAAAGCAAAGTAAGCAAAGTTGGCCGGCCAGAAGGTCCCACTGCGGCGCGTGCGCAATCGGCTCGAGCCGCTGACGTCACTGAGTGCGGCCCGCCCCTCCATATTAGCAACCAGAGGCGTCCGTAGCAGCAGTGGCTGCGGAGATGTACGAACTTCCGGTTGTCCCGGCGAGCTCTCGTCGCCGCCGAAGCCGCCGCCGCCGTCTCTTTCACCCGCCACCCGCCGTGCGGGCTCTCGGCCGGTTCCGGTGCGCCCATGGTCGGCGCTGCGGACCGGGAGGCTGGCCCGGCGGCTGTGGCGTGCTGAGAGGGCGGCGTGGGGACGATGCGGGCCCCGCGCGGCTGCTCCCGGCCTGGCCACCTCCTGGCTCCGGCCTTCTTCCTGCTGTTGCTGTCCGCGCTGAACGGGTCCGGGGCGGCGCTGTCCACGGCGGACGGGGTGGCGCCAGTATCCGGGCCTCGCGAGTCCGGGCCGCGCACGCAGTCCCCGCTGCCTCCCGGCCCCACCGCTGCCCAGCCCCGGGGCCAAGCTCAGGGTGAAGCCGCCGGCCCTCGAGGCGCGGAAGGCCGCAATAGCAGCAGCCCCGGAGCGGGGCCTGAGGCGGATGGCCTCGGAGGGAAGGCCGCGGAAGGCTCGGCCGGTGGCAGCTTGGCTGCTGTGAGCCCCAACCCTGGCGAGAAGCCCATGACCCAGCGGGCCCTGACCGTGTTGGTGGTGGTGAGCGGCGCTGTGCTGGTGTACTTCGTGGTCAGGACCGTCAGGTGAGGCATAGCCTCGATCCCCACTCCCCTCCCCGACACACACACACTCACACACACACACACACTCACACACACACACACACAGTCACACACACACGTGCACTATGGCCTAGAGCCTGCGGACAGGTGACCTGCCCCTTGAAGCTGGGCGGAAGTTTGAGATCCGGGTTTGACTCCCTTCCCTGCCTCCAGTGTCAGAGACCTGGATTCCAGACCGTCTGGTTGGCTGTCTTAATGGCCCTTTCTACCTTACCTCCGTGACACAAGCTGACGCCTTTCATTTATAAATCAGTAACCCATCTCCAGCATCTCGTTCCCCCAGGCTTGCCGCTGCCATAAAAGACACCCTTACCTTGAAGTGGAAGAACTCCCATCCCCCGGAATTTTGATTGCACAGCTCTGCAGTTGGCGCAGCTAACTTGTCGACGGGTTGCCTGTTAGAGTGCAAGTCAAGTGTGAGTCAAGGTTCCACTGACAGTAGTTCAAAAGCGCCCGATGCGTGTTTCACTTTTATAAAACTTAGATGTCCCTCCTTGCTAGTTGTATTTCGTAGTCGGTGCCCTGAATCTTCCCCTAAGTTGCACTCAGTTAATTGGGTACCGCATCTCTGGAAAGGTGTCAGACAGAGCAAGACCCCCATCAGAGAGGGCCATCCACCAGAACAGCTGAGGAGAAGCTAATGGCGCAGATGGTATTTTGTGATATTTGCACTGGTTCATTGCTTTCCAAATTAGTTCACACTTTCCCCCTCATTACACACTATTATTATTTAATATATGTTGTTAAATCGTCAAAACAAAATTTCGTTTTTAGAAAAGTGTTTGTGAATGGAAAACCGACCTGACTTGATTAAAAAAGTGTTTGATTAAAAAGCTACGATGCTTTTGGCGATGTCATCCAAGGGATATTATTGAATTTGTTTTTATGACACATCTTAATATTTGGTTGCAGTGTCTAAAACTATTCGCCATATAATATATTATCGTGACGCGTATAAACTACAAAATATTTACTGGGAAGGTTTGAAATTCTGCACTGAAGCTGATATTAAGGAAATACCTCTTGTCAAGCTTTGTTGTATGTATAAAAATGAAGAAAAATCAGAAAAGGGTAATGAATTGCTCCCTTATCTTCCACGTTGATATGTATTTGAGGCTGGATTTTCTTTGTAGCAACTAACCAAATATTACAAATGATTGGATGCAGAAGCAAATTTAAAAATCTAGTGCTTTTCTTTCCTGTTTTTATTTTGTATATACAGTTTAGGCCAAATGTTAGATTTTGAAGAAAAACATTGTGCCACTCTTTTTTTCTATTTTTAGTTTTATGAACTGTTAACATTCTAAAACATTTAAATCAATATTTAATTTTTCTCAATTTTTATTGACAATTTAGATATTGTTCTGCGTAATCCACATGTATAGCTCTCTAAAGCCTGTAATAACTATTAAGAATGGAAAGGAGTCAAAGCATTTGAAAAACCTCTTGTAGAAGCAATGTTATTGAACTGAAAACTGTTGATTTAAAAAGTTCAGAAAATCCACGGCCGCTCTTGGTCACTGGGAAGTTAGACAATGTTGAAAAGGTATTAAAAGCTTGTGACTACCAAACTGAGATTGCTTGATGTTAAGAAATCTTAAAGGAAAATGAACTTATTTTTCGTTATATAATGTTACTTAATATTGTGTGTAATTCCTGTAGGGTACATAGAAAACATGGTAGAATGATAATTTGCTTGTTGCGTTTTCTCTTCCTTGTCGTTCCACCTTATTTCATTTATAATCTTACCTACACATGTTTACTGCCTTTGCTTTTCTATGTTCATTTCTGTTAAACTTGAGAGGACTCAGCCTTCTCCGGTTCTATTAGATGATTCGTAACATGTGTTATGAGAACAGCCAAATTCACAATTGGGACTGATCAAAACTGCATGGCAGCATCTAACACATAGTGTGGTCCAAGTTCTAAATTTAGTTGGTTGCCTTGCATCCAAGGCTTGATTGGTGCTGACAGAATCAGAGGATATCCAGAACTTACAGTCTTTACTTCCGACTATGCTTTTCATTCTCATTATGGTGGTTACTCATTTTGGCTCCTTTTCCAAAATATGTGTGACAGTGAACCAGAGTTGCTTGCTTGTGCCAAGGGAGAATACTCGCAGATCATTTCTTTAACTGATGATATTAGGTGAAACTGAATATTTTAATTGTAAAATTTTATTAAACTTTATGCAACTTCAAAAATGTTTTTTGACATACTCAGCATTGCAAAAATTTGGATAGAAATAACTTACACTGGCAGTCTAGAAATATTCCAAACAACGATTTTCTTTCTGTAGAGGAACTTGAATACATTACAGGAGTGCTGTAGGGGCAAAGTAGACTTCACAGGATGTATACAGCCTCTCTGAGAAAGTGCTCTTGCCTGTCTTATTCTTTACCCTGTGCCCATTACTGAACTGTGTAGCACTGTGCAGAGCGAATAAAGCACACTGTTGGTTTGTTGATGTGGGAGTGATTTCTTATTAATAAGGAAACTGCCTAGGCCCCTTGATAGGCCAACCCTTAGGTGGATGGAGTAAACAGAACAGAATGCTGGGAGAAAGAAGCTTAGTCGAGGAGTCGCCATGATTCTCCCATTCCAGACAGACGCAGGCTAAAATCTTTCCTGGTAAGCCAGCTCATGGGCTACATAGATTATTAGAAATGGGTTAGATTAATATGTAAGAGCTAGCCAATAAGAGGCTACAGATAACGAGCCAATGAATACAGTTTGTGTGTTATTATTTCGGGCATGAGCTAGCCAAGCGGCCGGGGTGTTGGGGACACAGCCCCGCCGCTCTTATTTCAACAAGGCAGTGTTTAAAAGAATACAGTTTCCGTGTAATTATTTCGGGCATAAGCTAGCCATGCGGGCGGCCGAGTGCCGGGGACGCAGCCCTGCCGCTCCTATCGCTACAGAGTGGCGCCCAACGTGGGGCTAAATCCACTTAAAAACCTGAGAAGGCTTAAAAATAAGGGAGAGAGAGTTTAACACAGAATTTTGCTGTTTGTTGGTGGGATGCTATAGAGAGATTTCCTGATTCGGGAACAGCAGCAGAAAAAATGCTGTGTCATTTTAAAGCACAGCTTCTTGGGGCTGTGCTGCCAGCGTGAACTCTGGCTTTAAAGCATTCCAATGGATTTTATGGGACTGGATGTTTGTGTTCCCACTTGGGATCAGAAGGAGAGTATTTCGGGGCATAAGCTAGCAGGCGGCCGGGGTGCCGGGGTCGCAGCCCCGCCACTCCCTCAACAGTTTGTGAATGAGCTTTAACTCATTCTTTATGTTGCTGACTAGGTAAGTGGTGAGAATTAGAAACTTAAAGGATAATTGCTATTTGCTGATAGAACAGAGAAATCATGAAGATCTCAATTACTACTAGGATTTCTTTCTTTTCTGTAGGACATTCTTTCTATACTAAGATGTATAAGGCCAGAAGCTACAATGGTCTGTAGCTTGTCACTTATATTTTAAATAAACGCTGATTGGCCAGTAGTGAGGCAGGAAGTATAGGCAGGGTGACTAGGCAGGAGGTAGAGGTGGGACAATGAGAATTCTGGAAAGAGGGAAGTTTAAGTCCGTAGTCGTGATCCAGACACAGAGCAAGCAAGATGTGACTGCCTTCACTGAAAGAGGTACCAAGCCACATGGCTAACATAGACAAGAATAATGGGCCAATTTAAGATTTAAAATTAATTAATAAGAAGCCTGAGATACTAGGCCAATCAGTTTATAACTGATGTAGACCTCTGTGTGATTCCTTTGGGACTGAATGACTGAAGAACCAGGTGGGACAGAAACCTCTGTCAACAGCCAGAAAACAATCATAGAGAGTTATTACAATTTTAAGCATTGTATATTGATTATATAAAAAATAGTTCCTATTATAAATTTATGATTAATTATTCTTACCTTAAAGCAGAGGTTTTTTTGCCGCCCTCCCCCCATGATGTGTGCGTGCGTGCGTGTGTGTGTGTGTGTGTGTTTTATTCAGTGTAATGCTTAACTTGTCCTTTTTTTTTTTAAGACCAGGTTTCTCTGTAGTAACTTGTCCTTCTTTAGGAAGGTCCTTGACTTCTCCAGTCTCAGAACTCTGAAACAGGGATAAAGAGCTCTTTGAAGTGGTGGTGATGAGTAGCAAATTTAGCTTTGATAGTCTTCATTCAGCCAGTCAGTATTTATTCAGCTGTCCTGAACTGGGCAATTGCAGTGTTGTTTTGAGATAAATCAACATTATTGTCCCTGTGGTACCGCCAGCCTAGAGGAGCACAGGGACATTCATCAAACAGTTACACAGATAATTAACAGTCACTCAAAGGCGCACTTAAGTACCCTCTCCTCAGTCTGTCCTCCTTGCTAGTAATCCTTCTTCACTTTCCATCCTGGCTTCTTTGGATGACAAGAACCATGTGTATGTACAATTATTGTACATCAATTAAAAGTAGAATTATAATAATTATGTGTCTTATTAATACTTAGTGTTTAGAAACTACATAGCATTAGTTTAGTTTAACCAGAACCTGTATTCTAAGCATAAAATGGAACTTTTTTCAAAGAATCTTGCTTTGTAACTAAAACACTCCTTTTGAGATCATTCTCTACCATGCATATAAACTAATTAATATCAATACTAATTGATGTATATCATATATAATGTCACATAATTTGAGTATATTTTCTAATTCTTGCAAAAATCTTCAAAGTAGCTGATGTTCATCTGAAGGTAGTTGAGGCTCAACGAGGTCAAGGGTTTGTCTGGAGCACATCTGTAGGACCTGCCCAAATCCAAGTCCACCTGAACCTAACATGGCCAGTGACTGTGTTGTCTGCTTTAACATATACCCCTTATTCAAGGTGATGCTGTACGTGAAGATGGCCTGTTCATTTCTGGGAAAATTAAGTGGGTAGCCATTCTTTGTAAAATATGATTTTTGGTGAACGTAAATTTCTAAGACTTTACAAATTGAAAAAGTAAGACAACCTTAATATTTGCTGATACTTATTACTGTTCTAAACTTTAAAATGGTGTAGTGCTATGTCAGTCCTACATCCCACCCTTCAAAGATTTTCTTGATTTGCTATATATAGTCAGAGAGTGGATGTATTTTAAAGTAACTACTACTGCTAGACATTGCCTTGTCTGCTTTACTTTGTCTTTTCCTTCCTTCTTTCCTTCCTTCCCTTCTTTCTTCTTTCTTTTGAGATAGAGTCTCACCATCTGACATTAGGTGGCCTATTTCTTGCTATGTAGAACAAGATAGCCTTAAACTCAGAAACATTCCTGCCTCTTTGCCAGAGCGCTGAAATTAAAGCTATGCGCTACCGTGTCCAGCTTGCTATCTGGTTTCTTAAGAGTTAGAGTTACTGTATGATTTTCACTACCAATTATAAAATTATGTCATTGATGAAAGTTCAGCTTAGACAGTGACAGAGACAGAAAGTTTGTAAAGCTGTTTCCATCCATTAGTAACTGCCATTAACTTAATAAGTATTGCTGAGTGCCTGTCAGTTCCAGCTCTTGTGATAAGAATCAGCAGCACATAAAGTTGGAAATGTGCACAATTTTAAAGAATCTGTTTATTTGTTCAGATGTCCTTTGAAAGTCTCATTTGTGCTCTGATTTGTCATCACTTAGACAAGAAATATATATATATATATTGAATATATAATATATAGAGAGATGAAAGTGCTTTGAAATAGAATTAGCAAGTATGACTCCTCAAGGAATTGTATTTTTTTGAGAGATGAAACTTTCCCAAATGTTTATGCATACTGTGAATAATACAGTGTATAATATATAAGCTGTGTGGCCTACTCTCCTGATGTCAAATAGGACCAGTGATGGTGATATTAGTGATATAGCCTGTCGGTCATCAGTGTGGAATGAAACACTGGAGAAAGCTAAGGAAAACTTGGGAAGGATGGATATTTTATTTAACACTCTTCATATAGGAAGGAGTACAGTGCTTGCACCTGAATATTTAGTAAAGTAAGTAGACGTGAGCTGTAAATACTCTACAAGGGAAAATCAGAGTTATTTCATTGAACATTTCAGCAGAAGTATCCTCTCTCAGCCTTCTCTCTCTACAAAACATGCACAAAGAAAAGCTGACCGAGTGCTAGCATTTACTAGAGTTTTGTGTTATCAAGAAGTCAAAGAGAAGAAAGGATTGAGGATTTGAGGAGCAGGCAGGGATCAGTGAAGACTAAAACAAGAAGGATACAAGACTAGCACTGCACAGAGGTCTCTGCTTCTATATTGCGGGAATACAACTTTCCGTTGGTTTTTGTTTTTTGTTTGTTTGCTTGCAATGCTTCTTTGCTTTCGTCCTTCAGCTCGGGAATTAAATGCTCATGGAAATATAAGTTCACTTGTTGCCAAGGATGATAGCAATCCTAATGGCCATTTTACCAGATGGTGATTTTTGTGGGGGAGATCATACCAATAAGGATATATGGAGTACTACAAGGAAGGTGAAATTCGCAGTCATCAGAAACAGTTGGTGCTCATCTTTATCTTTGCTTTAGGTTTGGGGAGGACTATTATTTTCTGTTTTATGTTACTGTTTTATTTTATAACCTAGCAATTTAAAGCTCCAATCTTTGGAATTGGCTCCAAAACATTGTATGATTTGACCAGTTAGCATAGGAGATAATGTAGCAGGACAGAGTCCAGCCCAGCACTCTGGGCTATTCAAATACACACCCCTCCTAGTCATAATTCTATAGAGAGGGTCCATTCTGAACAGTTCCCGTACAGTAATGGGCTATTTTGTGTTAATCTTCCTATGCTGGTTTCTTTTCTGTTGTCCTAGCCCAGATCTATTTCAGTGTGGCCTGTTGGGAAGTCAGCCCTCCTGCAGTGTATGTCTGCTTTCATGTGTGACTTTGATGGTGCGCTCACAGTCCATCTCAGGCTTGTGAATCAGGGAAGCGAACTGTTTCTACTTGCAAAGATTAGTCAAGGACTTACATATGTGTGGTACGGGTTCTGCCAGGTCACGGCTGTTTTGGTGGTGATGGTGGTTATTGTTTTTTTTTTTTTTCTCTCTTCTTAAGCATCATCTGTAAATCTCTTTTCTACTATAATTTAAGCATAAGCCGTACTTTTGAGAGTTTCTTTTTTTCAAGGCAATATTTTATTTTCATGTAGCCCAGACTGGCTTCAAATTCCTTACATAGCTGGGGCTGACCTTGATCACCTGATTTTCTCCATCTCCTGAGTAGAGAACTTACAGTTGTGTACTACAGTGCTAAACATTTTCAGCATTTCATTTCGTTTTTCAGTTGATTTTATTATTGTTGATGAGTTGTGTTTGTGTGTGTGTATGTGTGTGTGTGTGTGTGTGAGAGAGAGAGAGAGAGAGAGAGAGAGAGAGAGAGAGAGAGAGAGATGGAGTCTCATGTGGACCATGGCACACAAGAGGAGTTCAAAGGATAAATTTCAGGAATTATTTCTGTCTTCCTATGATAGGATCTGGGACAGGATTCAGGTTGTCAGGCTTTTAGGGGGAGTGATTTTATTCATTAAGGCATCCTGCTCTCTCTGAGTATTTTTAATGCAATACTGCTGCATTTAGTCAATATTTTTCTGTGTGTAGCTGAAAAGGGAAGACATTTTAATTTTTCTTAATGTTAATTCTAGGACTGTTTCCCTATCATCTTAACACAAGGGAAATTGATATTCCCTATGATGTCCTTTGGTTTTATCCACCCAAGACCCTGCTCTGTGACTTTAAGAATGGAGAGTGGGAGGAGCATTGCCTTAAGCATCAGCATGTATGCATTGCATTGGTGTGTAGGACACATTATTCGGGAACTATTTGAAGGAAGGCTGCAAGTGTGGATTATATTAAAACATAGCCAAGCAAGTTTATGAGCCACTTTTGAATTTATGTAAGTTAGTTCATGGTAAATTTGAGTGACTGTTAAACTTCTCAAATTGCTCTGCTTGTTGGGACCTCAAAGATAACAAGTTCTGTTTCTCCTCAAGAAGCCAGCTGTCCAGTCGAGGAGTCTCACTGCTGATTAGGGTACTAAGTTGAAGTCAGAAGAGTTTAGGAATGAAGAATCAAGCTCAGTGTTGGAGGAAACTGCCCTGGGATCTTACAGAGGCACTCACTGTTGTTAGCATTGACTGTTGTTAGCACTCCAGTGTTTGTCTGTAATTAACATGTGTCCTCTTCAGGTCCAACCCAGTCTGCTCTCAGCTGACCTTTACAGACGAGTATTTGGGTTACTGTTAGCAATCATAATTTTGCACATAGATGTCAGGGAGCACCCCCGCCCCTTGGCATGCAGGGAGATGGTTCATATGAGGTGGGATGAAACTCCAGTCAGTGCCATCTTCTCAGGCACTGGGTCAAAACTTCCAGAGTCTGGTGCTGTGTTCTATTCTTCTTACACATGTAGACACAATAAAATGTTGGGAAAAGGTTTCCATGTAACAATTATCACAACAAAGCTTTAGATATAGCTACATAAATACTCCCTAGTAAAGTCGCAAAGCATCTATGACTGTTGCAATAAGACTGAGTTCTATTGGCAAGATAAACAGAGCTAAGGAGGACTTAAGGAGGAAACAATTGTATAAGCATAAGAATGGAGTCTGTTGGTGAGGATGCAAAGACCTCTTTCAGAAGGATGCATTCTAGTCACTGATTGTCCAAGCTCAGGATCAGCCTACACAATGCTCAGGATATTGGAGGGTTTCAGGTGGAGGCTGGTTCCTAATAGAATAGCAAATTGAGAAGGAACATTTGAAGGTATGAGAAAGCACAGAATCTGAGAAAACAGGAAGAAGTACCTAACACTCACATGGTAGGAATAACAGAGGTAAGGCAGCAAGTGCTTTTGTACTGAAATATTCCCATTTGTCTATGGCCATAGTACCCTGCACATGCACGATCTCATCTGATACATCTTGTCCCCACATACTTAACCTCTTTCCATAGCCTGGCTTCTAACCACACCATCTCAGACATCTTTTCAGAGGACAGTTTATAAATACTTTGCCTTCCTTCTGTGTACTCCCTCTGTTCACTGTGAGCAGTGGATACAGCAGTTTATACTTTGGCTTCTGAAACACCACTTCTCAATTTTTCTTTTCTTTCTATTTATAGTCTCTTGTTTTTTTAAATGTGTTTCCTTCTTGATAAAATTTATTTTATGCTTTTGGTTTGTTCATTTGTTTATGTTTCTTTGAGGCAGGGTTACATGTGGTTCAGGCTGGTATCTAATTCAAAATATAGCTGAGGCACGCTTTGAATTCCTGTTCCTCCTGATTCCGCCTTTGCAGAGTTCTGATCTAGGCAGCTATGGACCACCGAACCTTTTTCCTGTTTTGATCACCATTCTTTTGCCTCGGAGAGCAGGTCTGTGAGTTCTAATGTCCCTTTCCAGATAATAGAATATGAATATTTGCAAGGGATAGTCTTACCTCTGCTAATATATTTCAGTGACATGTGAATCATTCCCTTAACCCTTTGCATCTTATTATCCGTGCTGCTCAATGATCCATCCAAGATTTGCTTTTAAATTGCCATTTCAACCCTATTAACAGTGTTGTGAGTTATAAGCTACCATATTCATCTAGCTTCTTACTAGATAGAGGATATAGTCTTACAAATTTCAAATTTGAAACCATCTTTCTGTTTTTGAGACAGTGTCTTCCTACTGTTAGAAATATTTCTAAAGAGGAGCCTCTCTGCTTGTGTAAAGAACTCCAAACCAAATTAGACCAAATCAAAAATGTTCACGTTTATTGAATGCAGCACTCTTGGGGGTCAGGAGCATGGTGGGGGAAAGACACAGAGGGAGGGCACACGCAAAACTTGAAACTATGTGTTCCTTTTTCTGGCACGAGCCTAAATAGCCTGTGGGAATGGTCCTGACCCTGGGGAGGGGTCAGCATTTGGTTTCTTGGAGATGGAGGCTGGCCCAAAGCAACTCCTGGGAGGGAGAGGGAGGTTGACGTGGAGCTTTTCACTCCATTGGTGCTCAACATTACATTTCAGACTCTTTGAACATAGGAGTGTTAGAGGGCTGAGGTCGCACTTTCAATCAAACACCCCAGAGTCCTTGGATATAGGGGTATTGGCTCAAGTCTGGCTCCTTTGGAGGGCATGGTACGATGTGGGAGAGGGAGAGCTGGGAGTTAGTGTGCTCAGACTCAGTGAGAGGTGTGGCTGGAGCAGCATCCAGTTTGCTGTCCTCCTGGATTCCTCAGGCAGCTGCTCTTTGAGGGAGATGAGAAAGCAGGTGGCTAGGAGAAAAAATATTGTTATTATTGGCTCTATGAAATGGGGCTAGCCATGGGATGAGGCAAAATAGCAGATAAAACCAGAATTTAGTTGGCAGGGTTCCTTAATCCAGTAGAGTTGGTACCAATGGTGAAGTCCCAGCAGCTGGTGCAGGTGTTGGCATTGTCTGGAAAGTGCTTTATAACTTGGTCCTGGCCCAGGCAGCAGGAGTGACCTGTAAAATATGCTT